TCCAAGTTAGGGAGCCTATTATAAAATGCAAAAATGGGGCCTCTAAGATTCGGTAGCGGGTCTCTGCAAGCACGAACAGGCCCGCTACAAATCTCTTGGGTGCAAAAATTCGGCCAGCCCTTGCTAGAATTATGGACGTAGCCAATCACGGGTGTAGCCAAGCACGAGAGGACCCCGTCCCCCCTAAGACTTTACTCTCACCCAACAAAAAAGACGTCACTGTTATCTGACTAAGGTCTAAGACCTTGTTCTTCTCCCGCACCACACCCGCAGCCCTCACAAGGGTGGTGGCAGCCGGGCTTCATTGAGATATCCGGGCTAGCCTCTCGTCACAAAATGTCACGCAACGCTTTCTTACGTCACATTTACCACTCAACTGATCCCATAATAAGAAACTCAACGATGACATTTTACCCACTGCACACAGTGACAAATGTATTCTTACGCGAGAGACTTGTGGAAGGGGGGGGGGGGGCTGTTGCGGGAAGAGCTCAAACTGCTTTTACGGCACAACGACAAGACAAACAATCAGAATTCTAAGCTTAGGCTCATCAACAGCACTTTCATCTATGCTAATGCAGCGTACATCAAGTCAGGTGGTGGAGCCACGCAGCTACCGTAGACGGCTAACAGCTCGAGACCCGTTTGTCGCCGACAACGTTCAAACCCGCAATTTGGCAGGAAACAACATTTGAGGAAGATGACTGAGAACCCACCGGAACTGTAATCATTAAGGTTCGCTCGCGTTAAACGGAAATCTAGGTAACTTTTCAAATACGCGTGATGTCAGAAAGCACACAGGCAGATTCGCCTGTGGTTAGAGGCAATCGTGACAGGACGGCGCCATGCGCTGATGTCAACGGCAAGCCCACCCTTTCTAACTTTTAACCCGACTCTGCTTGATTCCTGGCCGGCCTGTGCCACTCTTGCAGTGGTTGGGGCAGCGCAGCTTATCATGTTTGTTAAGAGAGTTGATGTTGCTCGTGTTTTCCGGAGGGCGCCGGCAATGTTCTCACGTTGCGATTGCTTGCAAGTTATGAGATTAAGAAACGCTGTGAGTTACGAGTGCACCTGAAACGGCAAGACTAACTTGGAGGTGACTTTGGTGTCTTCAAGATAATGAAAGAGCTTCATTGTACACGGGAAGCGTGTGAATGAGAAGAACCGAAATAGCCGGTGTTTCTATACAATACTTCTTTCTATTAAATAAGCCTTCTATATCACAACTGATGCTTCGCATTTAATTTGGGTGACCGTCTTTTGTGTTAAAACACGATTGCAAATGACTGGTTAATGCCAACCATCCTGACCCACCATGACATAAACATAAACATACGAAAATAGTAATCCTTTATTCGGAATCAATCACAAGTATGGAGCTTGGTTTAGAACGTGCGTGCTGGTAAGTCCAAGAAACAGGACCCCGACGCCTGGCATTACAGTTTTGATTGGTCGCGAGGCGTCGGCCCGGTGGTTCATGCTATATGGCGGCTAAAGGGCAGACAAAAATAATGACGTGTCTGAAAAAACTTTTTAACGCTTTAGGATATCAACTCGCAAGTTAAGTTCACCTGTGAGATTTTTTGGACTGATTTCAAGAACGAGTTAGCGTTTGCAGCGCCGCAAACAGGTGCTCGAGTCTGGTGGTTGTGCAGCTGGTCGAATATAGGTAGAATCTGCATTTTTCTCATGTTGCCGTAGCTGCTAATCCGTTAAGAGAAGAGCTTCAATACCATGCAGGTGAAATATGCGTCTCAGTCAAGTCCGTGAATCATACGCATCAATTTCTAAAGACTTTCGGAAGCATTATTTCACGACTGTCATTTTTGCGCGCGTGGCGCCTGCCACGCTCGTCCGTCGTCAAGTCACTGCTTCGCCCCATCCCAAATAAATTTGGGTACGCAGCCACTAGGCACACTAGAAAGCAATGGTTTTCGTCTGTTCTCTGCTGTGCAGAACAACCATTCCATCGGTAGCACTTATATATCTTCTCAATCATTTCATAAAGCTACATATAACACACCCAACGCTTTGAAATGTTCTATCATATGGCTTATAGCGCGTACGCGGGATGTTTATGACGACCGTTGCCTGCGATGCCTTTTTAACAGAGCGCGGCGATGTATATGTATCGGGTTTTGCCAGGTACGCTGTGCGCTGCCATTCCTCGTGCCAGTAAATCATAGCCTGGGTGACAGCCAGCATGCCAACCTTACCAATGTCAGCCGAAGCGTTCTCCCCGTAGTCATGACATCGCGCTTTGGGGAATGAAACGCCCATGTTTGCATCAGAAATCGACAGGGCAGCACCAGTCGTTGTATGTATGCAAAAGGTTATGGGACTTCGCTGCATTCAGACCCCCCCCCCCCCACCCCTCCCCCCACCCCACCCCCTCCCCCACCGCTCCTGCAGGTGTGACTGGCATTAGGCTTGCAGATCGATACTCACCTTGCAGACATGGAGCAAGGGATGTGATCATTGTGGCCTCTTTTGCAGTAAGCAGCCAAACATAGCATGTTGGTTCATTACAACGCTAGGTACGAGGATTCACTTACCGTCGTCACCGCTATGGGTGCAATTCCACTTTTCCCAGTTGGCAGTACGGAAGTGGTCAGACATTCGGTTTAGCCAATTCCTAAGTGAATGCTGCTTAGTTACAAGATTAATGTCCGACTCAAGCTGTCATTTATCGACATTATTCCTAAGCCTGTTGAGATGTTCCCTCCTCCAACACTCATTGCAGGCAGCAACAGAGGCGGGGCGTTGAAGTGACCGGCTGGACCGGTCTGACCCCTGACCTGAGGTCAGCATGGGCTGCTGTGGCGCCGCCAGTCGGGTGGAAAGCCTGGGAGGCAAGGCGGGACAAGTCCAAGAACTGCCATGCAAAGACCGATCCATCCGAGATGTGCCATGCCTCATCATCTTCGTCCTCTTTGTTCTAGGCTGGGTAAGAGAACCTCTTCACAAACGCAAGTGATGGTCAGGAGTAAACTCATAAAGCCAGAAGTGTAATGCAATTGTTAAACATCTATTAGATGTGCCGCGATAAACATAGAATTGTTTGACTCTGAGTACCGAACATTCAGTTTACTGTTGCAATCAGTTCGCCCGTGCGTCACATCATGCGTTTGAAAGCGTAGTTGTCATCATGTTTCCCATTACATCTGAGTTAATGATTACCTGTTTTTGGTATGCCAAAACGCAAGGGTAGCTTTAGCACGCCATCGAGCTGTGTCACGTGAGACTAACCTTGACTGGGCGTCAACGTACACTCTCTTCAGTTAATGAAATATTTTTACCTTGCTCAACTGATAAATGAGACTAAACCAAAGGTTTTTCCAGAATGGTTTCCGAGCGGCGCGGCGGAGGCACGCCAAATTTTACACAGCTCTAGACAATTGAATAGCGGATCGCTTGACATAACAAATTTAGACGTACGTTGTAAGGTCTCTGATACTATGGCAGGTCAAAGTCAGGCCATGGTTTTAGCGGGGGCAATTTATAGGGAATCGTTCAATCTAATCCAAGAACAGTGAGACGAAGCCATGCATCTCTAAGATGCTTTTTTCGGCAACATAGCAGTTGAATGAGCAAATTGAATTGACCTAGGGTCAGGTATGACGGTCAGACCAAGGCCAAAACCAATTTGTTTTATTGATCTAATACTTGCTGTATGGGATATTTTCTGGCGCCCATTTCAAATTTATTGACAACAGGAACCGCATCATACACCTTCCATGAGCTTTTCAAAGGTCACAAGAGGCCAGTGACCTAAAGTTGACCCAGGTCAACATTTTTTAGGAATATACTGCCTAGCGTATTCTTAGTCGCTTATTCAAATGGAAAGCTCATTGCATCTGGTATGATTTTGGTCTCTGAAACCTTCAAAAGATCAAACAAGATCACTGACCTCAAATGAGTATGTGACCTTTTGTTTATAACGATTATCTGGGTTCTAGGAACCCTTTGGGGACCAGCCTACAATTTGACCTTTTTTACCTTGTTTGACCCGAAGATCATGACCTAGGAACCCCAAACTCTGATCTAAATGAGTTCAGGTACAGATCTGACTAGATCTGATACATACCTGATACAGGTACAGGTGCTATAAATTTGGTGTCAACCGGCCACCCGGATGCATGTTAACTCAGTTTTTTACTCAGATCAAGCATACACGTATGAAGCACATACAATCAAGGATCAGTGCGTGGTTGGACCTTGAGATGAACTTGATCCTCTTGGTCTGCATATCACTACGGTGGCTATAGTCGATAACCAATTTTTAATTGCAAATGTACGCTGTTTAAAACATTTTGGTTTATGAAAGATTCATGTCAAAGTGAAAATTGGGTCGTTCAAACCGCAACAAAATCGTGAGCTCGCTTTTACCGTGTGCTCAGACTTGAAAATGATTGAGCTTGCAAATCATGTCACCTGCTTTAGCTCGGAACATCCTGTGACGATTCTTACCCGCCCTCGAAAGAAAACCCAGCGACACAAATGCCAGCAGGCTGTCGTCTGCTCTTAGATTTTGGCGATTTGCATAGCCTTCGCCACGGGCAGCGCTCACCGTCTCCTGTACGGTTATGACAACTACGGCAACGTCTGCGGCATGAAGAACTCACCAATCGAGGGCGTGTCGCGCAGCGGCCAAGACTACAGCGACGAACGGTCAGTGGCCTCCAGGGCGGTACGTGCTCTTGGGGTTAGCTGGCAGCCAGCGGCCGTCACGGGCCATAAGAACAGCGCACTGCTCTGAACAGTCGATGTGCCTGCCATCCTACAGTTCCTGGTGTTGACTAGGCCATAGTTCCCATTTGTGAGGCACAACGCCCTTTCGGTTGCTGCGAGTGAGCTGGAGGTGAGGTGAACAGCTGCAGCTAGGAGCACAAAACATCCGTGCATATCTGCCGTTTTCCTAAATTGCTTCTTGCGAGCACCGGAGCCGAAAGCAGGCACATACATGTAATTCATTTATTTCATTTATGAACCATAGCGGAATGACCAAGTAAGTAAGAGAAAGCAGTCTTTCTTCCGTGCGTGCATGACAAACGACTTAAGAACGTCATAAGTTGCAACTTAACTTTGGGCAACTGGCGGAAACTCGACTGCTCTCTTACGATGTAACAGCGTGCGTCCATGCACCGTGCCTGCCGCCACCAATGGGGCGGCAGCTGAAATAGCGCCTGCTCACCTGAAACATAGACTGTTCCGGTAAGCTGACATGCATTGCGGAACAGCCCAGCCAAGGCCTGCACCTCTGCCGCCCGTCAATTAGCCACAAATATGTAAACATTCGTGCACATCTGATGTGTCTATAGAGAAACGTTATGATATTTGTGTTATTATCCCACTTTTGATTATGCACAGAATAAGCGCAATATGTTCGAAAGTTATAGCGAGGACAATTCACAGCTTTGCACTGTTCATTATGATCGGCCGTTTATATTTTGCATCTCATCCTCCAGGGTTCTTCTGATCGAGAACAGTCTCAGCTTTGCTGAACAGGCGTCGGCCATACGAGACTTCGGTATCAACGTCTTTCACGCGATGAACCGCACGTGCGTCGATTCCTGTCCCAGCGATGGAGGGTAAGTCTGGCGCTCAATCGCTGGTGGCTCCTTCCATTCGGAAGACTCAACAGTTACCCAGCTTTATGCATCGAACTAATTTCCGCTCCAGGACAATGCGTTTTTGTAAGCCATGTTACCTTTCTGTCATGTCCGTAAACCAAAGCCCGACGTGTTGTACGGCTGATGGCGGTTTTTGATGGCGATGGTACAAATAGGCGGAATTTCAGTGCTGACAGCACAGATGTATTTCTGGAATACGACGTGAGTCAGGAACGTCACTTTATAAGCTTTCGAGGACCCTTAGTCATCCCCCAATCCTGACTTGAGCAACCCCATCCCTATGACTTTTGGTGTACTAAGTATGCGGTAGCTTTTAAATGTATAGGGTGGTCCTGATAAAAGTTAACGCATGTTTTCGCCCCACATTGACAAGTATATGTGTTGCACAGTTGTGCCTGTGGTGGTTGTACAACACGATCAGCGACAGCAGCAGACATCAGTGATTCCCTACTAAGGTGTACTTAACTGTTTTTTTCTGTGAATTACAGCCCATTCTAAGCTTTTTGCAAAAATGCAATTCTCATCAACTTGAAATGGGCAGACATTCCCCTGCAGGGGTGTAATTTGCAACATACGGAATCTTAGGGAATCACAAACAATTTTGCCTTCGAGGAAGCAATTTAAAGTGCCCAAAATCAGGCGAGATATCAGGGTTTGGATGCGGGTGTGGTCAACGTTTTTGGCTGAGTCCCTAACCCAGTTGAAGAAGCGGCACCCCTGAGAGGAGTTCCTGTGAGCCAAGCCCTCTGTTCTCCTGCCATTATATTATGATAATTGCTAAATGCTGCTAGGTTCTTCTCGTAATGAACTTGGGACACAGACCATTTTTACCTTGTTTCCCACGGCCATTTTATGAATTGAGGCATAATATTCATGACTTGCTCAAAATCGTCATTTGTATTAGCTTGTAGGCATGTGGTTTTGTGGTCGCCTAGCCGGTTTCGTTGAGCCCAGGTTTCCTTAACGCCGATTTCTCATTTTGTCCCCTGATGATAGCTGGATAAAATTGAAGTCTTGGGGGTTTTGCAAATGCACCAGCTACTGAAGCCATCGCGCAAAAAATGTCGTTTGAAAATTGAGAAACTTAGAATAAAAACTTAACGTATTTTGCTTTTAATCAAGATCCTAATTGATAATGTGTTTTTGTGTTCTTCATAGCGGCACCTCCTTCATGTACGCGCTGTGATAACAGGAAGCTAACTTCTCTGTCAAAAATAACCGTTGTAAAAAAACACCTGCGAAATGTTAGAAATATTCCATAAGTTGGGTGGATCCCAGATTCGAAGGAATCCTGACCAAGCTGAGATGGCTATTGCAACATCCAGGAGCCGCAAACCTCCGCCCGGGGGATATTTGACATTCCTGCTAACTCAGCTGTCTACTTCGCGAAGAACTGCAGATGCGCCCTGTTACGACTGCTGGGCTCAAGCCGAGCTCTGCTTCACATCTTCCGGCTGGCTTTCAGGACGACGTAATATAAGCTTACATCAGTTACCAAAGTGTTGTTTCGGGTTACTGTCATTTACAACGCCACCGGAGACGAGCGCTGTACGCAGGCCTCAGTACTCAGCGTCGATTGGCTTCGGACGAGCGGCTGTTCCTCACAGCACACCGCAAACAAATCGTCCTCTTTGGCAGTAGTGGTCGCTCCGCCAGGCGCCTGACAGTTGTAGCTGCCGACAGCCTTCTTCTGATCCTCGATGTGCCCCCCCCCCCCCCGCCCCCGTATATGTGCGGTCTCGTGCGTTGGACATTCTCACACATCGGTCCGACCAACCGCGGGCCACGCGAATCGTGTCGATTGATAGCACTCCCGGTCTTTGGATGTCGCACGCGTCACCAGATCTGGGAGAGGCCGTGCCGCCCCGACCGAGTCCGCCCCGGTTGGGATCACGCGGTCACCGTATAAAGGTCCGCATAGGCGACGCGCGGGATGCCCGAGGTGTTCCGACCATTCGAAGCGGGCGCATTGAGTCTCGGGGCGAGCCGCCCAGCCGCTTATCATAGTGGAGCTTCAGGTAGATACTATGACACATCACGTGGAGCAAGATGGCCAGCTACACCTCTCGGTCCCCAGCTGAGTGAGGACAAATTCAGAGCCGTGCACATTTTAAGCATCGTTAGCATACAGAGGTTTCAAACGAACTCAATGAAATCGGCATCAGACAGTTCGGTTGAGTTTAATTCGTATGATCGCGTGTTCAGGGAGGGAGCTACAGACAGGCAATACAACATATGACCTTGACCCAGACCCGAAGTATGACCCCACACGGAGCCCCACCGAGTGATGCGCGTTCCTGGGAGGGACTGGCAACGGGTATGGTCGAATGGTGCGCGTTCCTGAAAGGGATTGGGAGCTGGTGTGGTCCATTACTGCACGTTCCTGGGAGAGACTACGGGCGGCCAAAGTCGCGACATATGTCTCTTGTCGAGCGGCGTCACAGTAAGGCATCGGTGTGGCGAGGCAAGCGATTGTCTTGGCATGAAAAAACATAGGGAAATGTGTCAGGTGTCAGAGAGTGTTCAACCACAATTTTGTAATTTTTGTTTTCCAAGGACACATACCCTCACGAATTCCAAGGCGGCTGTTGTGTACTTTTGGGATCTGAATGAATGCGTCCGGCCGAGACCCTCCCAGGCTGCGTTCATCCGCCAATCAGAGCAGGAGACCTATCCAGGCTGCGTTCATCCACCAATCAACGCACGGGGACATACCCAGACTACGTTCATCCACCAATTAGTGCACGAAGACCTATCCAGACCGCGTTCATCCACCAATCGGCGCACAAACCTAGGGCGTGACCTCACCTGCTTCCCGTGCGCCCACAGCCAGCTGGTCATCAACTACTGCTTCTACTCGGAGCCGCAGGCGGGCTCATCCAACGGCACGGAAAGCGCGTCCCCCGAGAGCGTCACGTACGGTTCGTCGCTGTTCGAGAGCGTGTCACGAGACCTGGAGGCGGCCTGGCCCGAACTGCTCGGCATCTGCGGTATTGCCCTCGGTACGGCGTCACTTCATCGGGGTTTGGGTTTTCTTCTTCGGCGCCGACACTCTTACAACACGCATTTGGGGTGGTATTCATGTATAAGCAGAGCGTTTCAACAGAACGGAGCTATTCTTGAATCATTCTCGAAATTATTGAGATGCTTAAGACTTCTGATACGACTCCTGAACGTGCCGGCGCAGAAAAGAACTGTCCCGAATCTGCGGCTGAGCAGGGATCTGCGATGCGTCGCTGATGAGGTGTCATGTTCTGCAGCTCTGTCCGTGTTGCTGCTGGTCATCCTGCGGTTCTTCGCCTGGTTGATTGTCTATCTGGTGGTGGCTGTCGTAGTAATTGGAGCTTTCGTCCTGACTGGGTTTTCTTTGGTAAGTCTTACGTGGCCGTCTTGCTTCAAATTCTTGGACGGTGGATTGATGACTACCTATGGTCAGAAGCCAAACTCGGTGAAGTATATGCCGTCTTCTGGAGATTTGACACGCTGGAGCGAAGCCAGCGCTGAACTTAGCCCCTGTTCATTCAGAACTACAGCATTTGTGCGCAAATTGTCCAGCTAGCAACTCTATCACCCTATTTAGGTTGATCTCATGACTCATTGTGTGCCAGGTACATGTACTTCGACAGCAAGAATGCAGCTGACAATGCCAACGGGGTTGCGCGGGCAGTTTTACAAAAAGGATGCCAACACCTACATGGCATTCGCTATAGTTGCCTCCATCTTTACGGTTAGTGCGGCATTCCGTGAAATGAGTTTCGTATGCGTGCGCGAAGTGCTTTGGGTTCAAGTTTCGTTAAGTGCCAGTGAAGCCGAATAAACCTATATGATGCCAGTTTTAATACGACTTGTAAAATATTTGTAGCATCCACCATTTCATATTTCCCGGCTATAGTGTGGTCTATTGCAACAATGACGCATCTAGCTCCTCAGGACTAGAAGTGAAGCATATGAAGAAAGAAAAAGGCATCTTTTTGCCATTTTTTTGGTCGCGCACTTCTTGCCACGTCTTGCTCATTACTGTGGAAGATGGCCCGCTGCCGCGTGAGCTCATGGTATCCCAGTCGAGTGACACTCGTCGCTCACGAGAGGCGCAGCTCGCCGCATGCCTGATGTGACTTTTACGGATGCTGCTTGGTGCTTTTATCCCGAGCCAAAAAAGTCAAAAACGCGTCAGCATGCTGTCTCGCGCATTGATGTGAAAAATGCAACGCTTGCTCGGGAAACGGCTTACATGGGAAACGGCTTCTACCGACAGGAAACACATGGGAAACGGCTTACGTTGCGCCCAGAAAACTCCCAAAGTGGCAATATAACCAAGCAAGTACTATGACCCAGAGCCGTACAGTCATTGCCAGCCTTGTTAGAAACATTAGAAAGAAGCGCGTGTAGATGACGGTGGCCTTTGTTTGCAAACGATGTACAAGTTATCAAAATACTCACGCCAACATAAATCATCGTCAGAATCCCGTGTGTTCACGCGCACATTGGACGGTCTCTGTAAATACTCACGCTGAGAGGAGGCGTTAAAACGGAAACTAAAGCCTTCCGGTCCGATCCATCGACCGCTCCGCACGCCTACGATCTCAGTATAAATCAAAGATCGGAACACAAATCCACAATGCCTTTAAAGGAAATGGAAGTCAAGCTCTTGATAAGCTATGCGATATATAAGCTTTTCTCACCAGTTTGGTGGCGGTCGGTCATTTTCATCTGCATATTTAGACTGCATATGGCGTATGCAAAAGCTATCAACTATGTTTTGCGACCGTTCCTTTTAATAATGTTTACGTTTTACGGGAGGGGGCATAATGCAATTAAGATTCATTTGTGATTGATACAATTAGCCTAAAAAGAAGACAGAGAGCTGATATGTGTCTCGTTGGGTCCCACATGTATGTAAATACATGTATGACGTATTTCATGGAATCTGCTCATTAGGGTGAGCTTTCTGGATATATAGTAGGAGGTTCACTTCACCATAATTTCAATGCCATTTGCGAATACAGTGCAAAGAAACTGCTTTAGAATTGGCTGGAATATGGGATCATCTTAGATCATCGGATATTAGAAGCGTTGAGACAATCTTCCATCACGGGCGTCACTTGTGTGCACTGTATCATGTTGTTCGTCACTATCGCGATTTTTCCTCTTCATCGAGACCCAGCGAAAGCGGACAGGGACAAAACCTGTGTCCTAAGGCAAGCAAACGAAACGAAAACCCCACGCTGGAGTCGTAGTCGGTCTAGTTGTGGGCGACTTTAGCCGTGTGCCTGTCTGGCTGACCTCCGCCCTCCTCGACCGGCGTGCCTCCTTGCGCTCTCAGGTGCTGCTGCTCATCGTCCTCTTCGTCATGCGCAAACGCATCAAGCTGGTCACAGCGCTGTTCAAGGAGGCCGGGAGGGCCGTGCAGGCCATGCCACTTCTGCTGGTCCAGCCGATGTTTGTGAGTGCTCAGACGTCTTCTTCAGGAGGGATCGCGAGCTGCTTATGCCTGTCGCCTGCTCGTTTGTCATGTGACCAATCACGCATTGCTTTGCATTTGTTTGTAGCCAATGGTGCTTCCTCGTGTTGTTGAGCAGTGCTGTCGCCTTGATGCGTTTCCTCCCAATCCCATGCAGCAAAATCATGCTGGTGTAAACTCCGCACCGCTGAGGCATGTTTGACATAAGAGCGACACTTTGCACACCTTGGTTTACTCACACCGTACTCAC